ACACCGTGAATATATTGAACTGAATATTCTTACACATAACCATATTGACATCTACTTCACATTGCATGGTTGGTCGACGCAACGCCGTGTATAGATAAAGTTGCGACAACTGTGAAGCCAGGAATTTCATATGACGTCATGCAAACTTATTATCTATTTATATGACCTATTATATTGTTGGATGTCATAGATTTCAGCGAATAAGTGTATATAGGACATAAAACGTACATTTTTTAAACGAAAAGTATAGCTGAACATACTCTTATTAGTATTATATAACAAGAAGCGCACATTATTGTTATATAACCTTATTCTATAAGAAAAATCAAAATAAAAGATACACTAGATAAAAGTACTATTAAACCAGGGGCGGATCTAGGAATTTTGAAAAGGGGGGGGGGCGCTGCAAAATAAAGGCATTGACCGCGGAGACGGGGCTTGCCGCTGAGGGGGGGGGGGGTCTCAAGAAAAATTATCCGTCATTTCCTTGCATCTGTAGCCATTCCAAGAGCTATTTCCCAGACTGGTGTGTTTGAGTCGATGGTTCGAGTCATTTAGGATCCCTACAACGGGTTGGGAACGGACATATTTGAGTCTGAGAAAAGGCACTTTCAGCCGTAAAAAAGGGCACTGTTGAAAATTAGGGGGGGGGGGGCGCCCCTCGCACCCCCCATTGAATCCGCCTCTGATTAAACATATTTAACTTGCATTCGCTTTTAAAGGAGCTAAATCGCTAATATTTGGGAACTAGAAATTGTCACAAATGGGTCGCACTAACCTTGATGTTGACAAATACGTAAGACGATATGAACATCAAGGTGATATATGCATATATGCAGCATAGATAATTAAAACTTCTATTCAAGTTAAACCAACTGTATCTATTTATGTCTTACGCTTAGCTGAATACATTTTATGATTTATTGTCATTAAAACATCTATTGGTGGTTAACAGTGTGTAACTAAAAACTAAAATTGGATCTTATTATTGCCAATGATATAATGTACCTTGAATTTTTTATCACGAAGTCTATCGCATCCAGATATTTAAAGCGCGTTTACAATATATTCATTTTTTTGTATCGTAAAATTCATCTTCATTTGACGAACTACACCCAAACTACAGTCAGTGTAAACACGGTTTGGAGACTGTATCTGAACTACAGGGTACATCGAACTACAGTGTACATCATGCTTAAGAGACACTATCTAATATCCAACAGGAAAAATGACGATTAATTTAATATCCGCCAATTGGTGTTGCTGCTATTTTGTATTTTCAAAATTTATCTTCAAATTCAGAGACATCGAAAACCATATAAAAGACATTGCAAAAGTCATATCTTATGTATCTTAAGAGATGCCCTTTTAGTCTACCAAATTTATGTTTTTTTTGTTAAATTGCCTTATACATGTATTACCAGATTCGGTAGCCCTTTTAAAAGAAATGCCCGCCACCACATGGAAAATACATTTCTTTAATTGATGTTTGTCAAATTCGATTTCCGCACATTTCGCGCACATAACCACGATATAATGGTCGAACATTACGTACATCAGATAAACTATTTTTAAAGCCCAAAACTGTTCAACTAGTCTCTTTTAGTTATCAAGCACCTGTTTTATGGGATAATCTACCATTTAGTTTAAGATGTTGTACATCTCTATATTCTTTTAAAAAGCAACTTAAATCACATTTATTTAATGAGGCTTTTAACTGACTCTGTATACAATTGTTAACATGTCCATAATCTTGTTGTTTATTTATGATTACATTGTCACTTTGTAAAGTGCCCCTGAACATGTTTTATGAAAGGGCGCGCTATAAATATGCTGCAATAATAATAATAATAATAATAATAATAATATTACCAAATTTGGCGACCATTATGAAAGAAACGCCCGGCACCATATAACAAATACTTCTTTTTTTTAATTTGACGTTTGTCAAATTCGATTTTCGGCACATTTCGCTTTCATAACCACTCTGTGTTTGAGGAATTTAAAAAGAAATCATTTATAATCCAACGAGTAAATAGTAAAACACACTGATTACGAGATATCGATCTCAGAAAATTCCCCGATTTTGGGTATGATTTTGTTTGATATATTTATCACTGAACCAAACTGCATTGGTTTCTTTTGCATTTTTTTTTTTTAGGGTAAAACGTTATATTATCCCTCAACGTCTAATACTGCAAAAAAAAAACAAATTTTGGTATGTAAACCTGTATGAAGCCATGACGTCATAGCTTTTATGGCGTCATAATTGGGACCCAAAATGGCGCCTGGAAATGAGTTGTCGTAACTTTCCCACAGTCTACTCACTCATGTGCTCATCGTTGTATACCAACTATCGTTGAAAAAATCAATTTACGTAGATTTTTGAACATTTTAAAAGCCGTAGTTCGATTCGGCGCCCAAGAAAAGATATAAATATACACCAAAAACATGGCAATCAATCAAGTTGAAGCGTTTTGGCGTAAAACATCTGTTTAGGCGAGATGACGTGTTTTTGGTGTACATGAGTAAGCAATAATGCTACCTGACTAAAATACCCCCCCCCCCCTCTTGCATTCGCATGTAGTCATACATATGAGTCTCAAAATAATATAATATATTGTTAAATTATGCTCTTTTCAACTCCCCCGCCTCCGCCGCCGCCCCCTGCTCAATGAGTTATTTTACTTTTATTCTGCCATCTAAATAACTCTATACCCATGACTGGTGTACCAAGTTAAATCCACATCAAAACCCCATTTGTCGATAAGTGTATTTATAATAATCACTTGAACATCCTTGGAGAATTATATCTATTTAGTGAATATTAATACCAAAGAAAGAAAACAACTCTAAATTCTGAATATAAAGTCATCAAATTCTTTTACAGATCTTATTGTGGAAACCCAAAAGTTATATGTCACCATTGCCTTTTTAATCACATTTTTGTTTTTAATGTCAAATACCAAACCATCTCTAAAATTGTTTCATTATATAGAATGCAGTGTAATATAGAGGGATCATCAATAATTAATAGTAACATTCGATAATTATAAAAATGTATTATTGTAGGATGAAATCAACCTTTATTTTTAAACATTTAGTGAACATTTCGAATGTTAATGCCTCTTTTATATAAAATGGTTTTATTAATTAATCAATTTTTGTTTTACAAATTTTTAATTTTCTCCATTTTGTTTGATTTTTATGCTATATTTATTTTATCTATCTATAATTATTTTCCTGTGCTTTATCTATTAGTTCCCATTCATATACTGTAGAAAATTTTGAATTCCTAATCTGTTAAAGGGACTATTTTTTCTTAAAAGTATTTCAATTTAGTGCATTATTAATGTCTTTAGTGCTTGGTTTGGTTGATATTAAATTTAGATATATTTAAAATCTATGTTTTGGGACCATGGGGTAGGGATATTGTGAACATATATATTATATTCTCAGTTCTTTTTAAGGTTAATTGTAAAAAAAAATTAAATAGCTTTTTTTGAGGGGTGGGGGGATATTGTTATTATTGAACACAATTTTATTAGTATTGAAATTAACTTTGTTGATTAATATTCCAAATGTCTCGGTGCTTTATTTTTCAATTGAAATAGCTACTTTTTATTTAATAATTGGGAATGGGGGGGGGGGGGTATTTTTTCATTGTATAACACAATTTTATTAGTATTGGAATTAACTTTGTTTATTAACCTTCGAGATGTCTGTATTGGTATTAATTAGGCATTAATTTATTTTTTCATATCATTTATTGAATAAATAATAATTTAACAAACAAAATTATTATGTCATTTATCAATAATTACAGTTTAAACAGAACGAATGGAAGGGGTTGCATTCGAAAGGTTGCTATACTGGATATAAATTGGTAAAATACAACACAAGTTTTTGTTATACACAAGTTTGTACGAAACAACACGAGTTTCAAAAATTTCAACACAAGTTTCAGAAATTTCAACACAAGTTTCAGAAATTTCAACACAAACAAGTTTCAGAAATTTCAACACAAATAATGTGTAGATTTTCACACAAATTTTGTGTTGTTTCAACATTTAACACAAGTTTTGTGTTGTTTCAACATTTAACACAAGATTGTGTTGTTAAATAGAGACACCTAACTTGTGTTGAAAATAACACAAGTTTGTGTTGTTTCAACACAAGTTTTTTTTCAGTGTACGATCAAGTAACATTGTGGGTTTTTTATTACTTTATACCAACAAATGTATTTTTTTAAACATTACCATTACGCGGCATACCTCCGGTACCCTGGACAAATGTCGCAGTTCCCCCCCCCCCCTCTTACGGGCCCTGCTTTATTTCCATTCCAAGGCTTAACTTGGTCTTTGACTACCGGACTAGTACCATTATGTCACCGTCAGACCGGGTGGTGTCCTTACTGCGCTGCTGCGACCGTACAACGACCAGAAAATGTACAAGGTCGCCACGAAAGGTAAACATAACGTGAGAAATGTCCCCAAAAATTACAGACTTGAAAAAAGTCGTGTGCTTATACCCCTTTACTGCGCTGCTAAGGCGACGGAAAATGACCCCAGAGTACGTCAAGATCGCCATAAGCGTGATAAAAGCGTGGAAAAACGCCAGATATCGCGCTGTGGTCTAGATGGTCGCAAATGATCGCCGAGTCACGGCGTTTGCTTTGAGTATGTTCAAAACAAACGCCAAGGTTCTGTGATCTGCCCTGGAAAGATGTGAAAACGCGATTTTTTTTTTCAAGTTTGTAATATTTTGGGACATTTTCGCACGTTGTGTTCACGTTTGCCGGCGACCTTGGGCATTTTCTGGTCGCTGTACGGTCGCCGCAGCGCAGTAAGGACGCCACCCCGGTCGGACGGGGGCATAACAACTTTCCAGATTAGATCTTAGAGCCTTGGTGTTTGTTTTTAATATGCTTAAAACAAACGCCGTGACTCGGCGATCATTCATGACTATGGAGACCACAACAAGATATTCGGCGTTTCCACCACGCTTTTACCGCGCTTATGTCGATCTTGACGCGCTCTGCGACCAATTTCCATCGCCGTAGCGTCGCAGTAAGGACGCCACCCCTGCAGTCTGACGGGGGTATTAGCCTGGCTCATCAGGAAAAATACATCCCAACAGACTTTCAGCTAGAGCCCGTGGCAAAACGTAAAATGTCGGGTAGACCAGTTTTCATCTTTTTGAACTCTGTGGTATTGACTTCCTGTCTGTCCACATATACGGGGCCCCAAAACGTAATTCTTTAAGTGATGCTTTAAGGAACACTGCCAGAGGGCGCTGGTCGCATTGCAGCCCCAATTTTTTTTTTGTTACACATCTCGAATACGCTTGTGTCAAAATATAAATCCTTATGGTGATTTTGGGGATTAACCAAATGTCAAAACTGGTCAGCCCCGCCCATTCAACCTTTAATGCACTTCTCCAGTAAAAGGCAGCTTTGCAGTTGGAATTCGATATAAGAATGTCTTTGCGCCACTGCACGGCAAAACTCCCCTCATAGCACACAGTAGGACGTATATGTATCACCCCATTTCATTTCATTTCTTTTTATTGATGTAGGCTATTTTTGTCGACAATTGAAATGAATCCGTGTTCCTACGGCTACTGTAATAGTATCACCTTTCGACAATGCAGAAATATTCATATACTTTTAGCTTCCTTCTACGTTATTGTAACACATTGTTCTTGTTTATCAACCCATAATGGGCATACCCTCTTCTCTGAATCAGCATTCGTTTCTAGTGCTAACATGCATAAATGGACTAATTTTGGAAGAAATGCGACGTCTGATATGCCGTTGTGACGTCACAGTAACGTCATGACGTCGTAGAGACATAACGTCGCCATTTTTGGACTCGCTGGTACCGACTTCCTATCTGTCCGCAATACGTTTATGGTGTCTAAATCCAATAGTTTTAGAGATATTTGCAATTTTTGATCGAGAGCCGCCATCTTGGATTTGGCAACGCCCCCTGTCCTTATTCGGGCTCCGATTTTGGTAAACTTTCTTTTCCTTACTTAGGACACCATAATGAATCAATAGAAAACAAAAAACCTTTTGTTGCAATTTGTTCTACGTACGACATCATTTAGCCATACCAAACACCATATTCATCCTCTATCTCTTCATTATCATAAATACAGCCATTAGGGAATCTCGCAGTTTGTATGCAATCTTGTCTTAGTTCATGATCCGTTTTGAGAGTAAAATACTGGTAGTTATATTGACTATAATCATCATCTCTATCTTTATCTATATCATAACCATCATAATCATCATCATCATCATCATTACAACCATCATCAATATTATCTATGTTGTAATCTTTAGGATGAAGAACATCTTTCAATAGAATAAAGTCGTTTAATTCGCGAGGCAATTCCAGATCCTTAACCTTCTCCTTTATTCCCAATCCAAGATTCTGTCTGATGAATCTTCTGCACAGGGACTTGAGAGATATATTACTACAGAAACTAACGAATTCTGCTCTGTCTCGTGAGTGGATAATGTCTGTTCGTTCATATCTTTTGTCTTCCTCGTCAAAATTTAACGAAGTCATAATTTCCTCCCCTTCGGCGCCACTAAGATACAACAGTTTTCTCAGCCTATCTCTTTCTTGAAGGTTTAACTCAGTAAGATCAATTTGGTTATAGCTACTTTCAAGTGATGATGGTACGAGAATCTGAAGACAGCAGTTTTCAGCAACTAAATATCTCATAAAACAAACAACATGGTATGGTTCCCAGAAAAAGGGAAAACACATGGTTGTTTGAATAATTGTGTTACCATCGATACAGGGTAAATTGAGAAGACCAGTGCTACCATTAGATAGAAGTAATTTAAAACAAGTCAAATCAAACACACTCTGATAAATATTAAGATATTGTAGAGCAGATCTTCCTGAATAGTCTAACATGGTAACTATGGCACCAGCTTGAAGTAGTTTCCTTGTAAGAACTCTGTCGTTTTTCATTGCAGCCATCATTAAACTAGTTCTACCTCCATTATCGGGAATATTTACATCAATTCCATCAACACCAAGCAAAATATCAATACAAGCCATGTATATTGGATATATCTGTCTACAATAATTCTTAACAACATCATTTACCTGTCTCTTGTTCAAGCCATCTTTAAACATAGTAAATCCAATGATACAAAGGTGTAGAGCTGTATGACCCTGGTTATTTTGTGTATTGATCTCTAGTCTGGGATGATGTGTCAACAATTCTAAATATTTACTGTTTAATAAAAAGGATGTTATCATAGTAGGTGTGTTGGTATTAAAACAGGGATGGTTGATGTCTAGTTCGTTATTTAACAGCCATTTAAACTTGCTTACAGAATAATCATAGTTTAAACGAGCTAAAAGATGAAGCATATTTTCTCCTTCAATTGTAAAACCATTAACAATCAACTTACGCCCGATGTAATAACTGAACACCCACAACCTCTTACATTTTAAAATATCATGGAATAACTTAACTCCGTTGTCACGTGACATCAGATCTGAACCTGAATCTACTAAAAGTTTAAAGACGGCTGTAGAATTGATCATGTGATATTGGACACTATAACTAATTGCTGTATCACCATTATAATCAGTTAAACTTAGATCAGAATGTGGAATTAACAGTTTTAATATACTGATATCAACTTGAGATATTATATAGCTCATTAAAGCCGTTCGTCCCAGTTTATTTTGATGGTTCGCATTACAACCAGCTTTTAATAAAATGTTAATCAATTTAAAATACAGTGGACCACGACTGTACTGTCCTGTCGTTAGTTTCGATTGTGATTCGATCCATTCAAGCCATTTATCCGCGTAGATTCCAACGACATAGAACAACGGGGTATTGCCATTATAGTCAGGTTGATTTATGTCTACTCCTGTTTTTATTAAAGTATTAAAGACCTGTATACATTTCTCTTCAAATTTAACATGGGAATCCCAAAAAACTAAAACATGGTGAAGAATGTTGCGTTTTAAACAATCAACATAATGTACATCTACTCCGTGTTTTAAAAGATATATCACAACCTCATACCACCCTTTACTAGCAGCTATCAATATAGGTGTATTTGTATCATCATTCCCCTGGTTGACATCTACACCAGCATCAACTGATTTAACCACACATTGTAATAACAAATCACGCCTAGCTGGTTTGTAATATCTATAGTTAGATACAAGTATGTTTAACAGGTTATTCTTATAGCGATCAACATAATGTACATCTACTCCGTGTTTTAACATATATATCACAACTTCATACAACCCTCGTCTAGCAGCTATAAATATAGGTGTCAGTTTATCATCATTCTCCTGGTTGACATCTACACCAAGATCAACTAATCTAACTACACATTGTAATAACAAATCACGTCTATCTGGTTCGTCATCACTATCAAAGTTAGATAAAAGTATGTTTAACAGGTTGTTATGACGATCATCAACATAATGTACATCTACTCCGTGTTTTAACAGATACATTACAACTTCATACAACCCTGTACTAGCAGCTATAAATATAGGTGTCTCTTTATGTCTATTCTCCTGGTTGACATCTACACCAGCATCAATTGATTTAACTACACATTGTATTAACAAATCACGCCTAGCTGGTTTGTTATATCTGTTATATAAAAGTTTATGTATCAGGTTTTCCTTACATCTATCAACATGATATATATCTACTCCGTGTTCTAACAGATACATTACAACTTCATACAACCCTGTACTAGCAGCTATAAATATAGGTGTCTCTTTATGTCTATTCTCCTGGTTGACATCTACACCAGCATCAACTAATCTAACTACACATTGTAATAACAAATCACGTCTATCTGGTTCGTCATCACTATCAAAGTTAAATAAAAGTATTTTTAACAGGTTGTTTCGACGATCATCAACATAATGTACATCTACTCCGTGTTTTAACATATATATCACAACTTCATACAACCCTCGTTCAGCAGCTATAAATATAGGTGTATGTTTAAGTCTATTCTCCTGGTTGACATCTACACCAGCATCAACTAATGTATCTAGACATTGTATTAACAAATCACGTCTATCTGGTTTTTTATATCTGTTATAGTTATATAAAAGGTGATGTATCAGGTTGTTCTGATGGGGATTAATATAATGTGAATCAATACCGTGTTCTAACATATAAATTATAACTTCATACAACCCTTCTCTAGCACATGTAATTAAAGCTTGCTGCTTATCTTGTAATGATAATGTTTCTACGAATCCCTGTATATTTCCGTCTGTTTGAGCTTGAAGTAGTTTAATCCCCAACCTAAAATATATTAAACATATTGTTTTAGTTTTAAAGATGGTATAAATACAATAACAATGTAAAAATTCAACGTATTCTGTCTTATTAATCACGAATTATTCAATACCTCTTTATTATAAAACAATTCTTATATTTGAAATATGTAATTGTCTAAATATACATGAATTATTTATACCGTTTAGTTAGAGTGTTATTATAATCTGTCCACTGGAGATGATTTAAACAGGATACCGTACCCCAGTTAACCCTGATGTTCACCGTATGTACAATAGGCTAGTGTATACAGTGGCGGCGCCAGCCGTCGGTGATTGGGGGGGCAAAGCTGGGGCAAAGTCCAAGGTTAAGGGGGCAAAGGCACGAGCTTCAACTAGGGGTAGTGGGCCTCCCCCAGAAAATTTTGAAAAACAGGTTGCCGGAAATGCACCCTGGCAGTATTTCAGGCACTGATCGATGAGGTAAAGTGTCAAACGAACTGACTTGCGAATCACCAAAGCCCACTCACGCGCGTCAAAGTAGGGAGTCCTCCCCCAGAAAATTTTGAAAAATAGACTGCCGGAAATGCTGTCTTACAGTATTCTGTCAGGCACCGATCGTCGAGATAAATAGATCTGCCCAGATACTGTTCATCGCCTGTGCAGTAGTTTATCCGACTAGAGAACAAAATGTTAAACGAACGGACTTGCGAACCTCAACGAATTCCCCTTGTGAGCGCCGAAGTAGCGAGTCCATTGGGGACCTCGACTAGAAAATTTTGAAAAATAGACTGTCGGAAATGCTCTCCAACATGCAAGTTTATGACTGAGTGGGGATGTGGGATTTATTCACCGTAGAAGGTATTGATTACCGAAACGTATCACAAATACTTTTTTTTATTTTCTAAAATTATTGGGGGGGGGGGGGGCAAACAGAGGGCAAACCACTGAGTGTATATAATATATTAAATATACGAACCTATATTCATCCATCTTAATTCTCTGTTTGACTATATCCTGTAGCCGTTATTATGTCAACATCACTAAAAAAACATATAAATACAGACTATTAGTTATGTACATATACCTACTTCTGTACACCATACTCGAGATATCTACGACTGGATTCTGTGTGATGGACAGATTCTACAGACATGAAACCATACCATACTCGAGATATCTACGACTGGATTCTGTGTGATGGACAGATTCTACAGACATGAAACCATACCATTCTCGGGATATCTACGAACTGGTGTCTGTGTAGTGGACAATCATTTTCTAGCCAGTAAAGAACTTCAATTTAAGTTAAGAGGGATCGCCTAAAACGACTGAATAATTTTATATTGTCGTCGCCCCTATCCTTCCGCACGTCTGAACGTCCGTCCATAATTTGTATGTGGGCACTATCCGATTTTGAGGAAACTTAAAACTCCCAAAAATTGCGGTTCCTGTCGATACTGTCATGTATCGGACCCCCACTTCATGGATTATGGCCCCTGATTTTTAGCTTGTGGACACTCTAGAGTTCACTTGATGAAATATATATCTATAACCAAAGATCTCGGTTGATTCGATATTTGCACTAATCGGACTGTAACTTTTTGATTATGGCACCTGATTGTACGAAATAATGGACCCGCTAGAAGTCAGAATTTCAATCCGATTTTGTTGAAACTTAAGATGTAAGTTTATATCCCAAACATCTCGGTTCTTTTCGACATTCGCGCAAATTGGACTGTATTTTACTGGATTATATGTATAATACTATAGGGTCTATATACAGTAGCGTTTATTTAAGTTCTGTAAAATGCTTTTGTTAATGTATTTTAGCTAGTACCAGTGAGAACTAGGCAAGAATATGTCTGGTAGTTAAAAATCGGGCAATGGCATCATAGTCTGCTAAAATAAATATGGTAATCCCATGTGTTAGAAACGTGGTTAGCCGCCATCCTAGGTACCCATATAAGTACACTGTGTTTAAATCCAGGGTTGCGTCTGTGCATCTGACCAATCAGATAAAGGACGTACCTGGTCAATTTTCCGGGGCTCAGTACTGACTCATGCGCGTATCATCTTTATATGATGATACGAGTTTAATTTCAGTCCAGACATTATTCGGAGCTCAAGGGGAACATACCCATAGCCCCCTCGGCTTAGAGGCTTGGTCGAAGACATCATAGCGAGAACATCATGTAGAACTAACATTAGGTGTGTGGCTCTTGTCATGTTTCAGCCGTTATAGTCTGAGATAAAACAGATATTAAACTCAGACCGTCGATATTTTAATAACTCGAAAAGTACTATCATAGATATTTTAGTTTCCTTTATTTAACCTTTGTAGTTTGCTGTATTTGATATATAAATAGAGGAGCAACATAAACTGTGTTTTTAGAGTTATTGATCATTGGAAAAAGTTATCACAACGTGAAGTCAAAGAAAGTCCTAGACGATAGTGTCACCCTAGTGTCACGGGCCGTATCCACAATGTGGAAGGAATTCATAATTTATTTATTTAACGACACACAGTAGTGTCACAGTTTAGTCTTTTTGGTTCCGCGACACAGGATAGTGTTACATATGGTCCCTGATTGAACCAAAAATAAATCGTACATGTAACACTATTTTACTTTAGTCAAAATTTATTTACATCGGAAACAGGAACATAAATACACACGAACATAAATCAAACATCAACACGGTACATTACGCCCTTCTGTCTCGGCAGCGGCTGAACTCGGGTGAGCCCATTCGCTGGTCTCTGCTCCTCCCCGTTCGTCTCTCTTCTGCGTCTCTTTTACTGTAAGTAAACTGGTGGTTATATACCTTTCAAATGGGTCTACACACACGAAATCATTACTATATATGGTATTTACAAGTTATCAAATTTCGCTGACTGATATAAATATATACATGTGGAATTGATAGTCGTTAATTAGTGCGTACGTGTTTAGAACAAAGTGTATAGTTGAAAAGCCAATATCATCTACATGTATTATCAAAACCAGCTGGGATCAATAAGTTCACTGCATCTAAATAATTGTTTGTATTTTATAAAATAGAAAATTAAGCACTTTGTCACATACATCCTAATGATCGTTGAGTTTGAATTTCGTGAAAATCTGACTGAAACTTCTCGATAAAATTGTCGCTCCTTGTACGCAAATGGCATTACATACTTTTACACTAAGATTGTGGATTCTCTAGAGGTCACAATTTTTATTCGATTTTGATGAAACTTAAAATACATGTTTATATCCCAAAGATCTCACTTCCTTTGGATATTCACACATTTTGGATCGTAACTTCTTGGATTATGGCCCCTGATTGTATGAAAAATCGATTAGCTTGTGGACCCTCGACTAGAGGTCACAATTTTTATCGATTTTAAAAACCGTTCAAATATATCACCTTTACATCATTGTTGAAATGATTTCCATGTTAATGTTTTTGTTATCACAGGCTAAAATTTACATGAATATATTAAATGATTCCCTCAATTCCTATAATTCTTTTGTAGAATTCCTTAGAACCTTTTTTTTAAGTTGTCCTGAAAACTTAGTAGATTTTGTAAGACTTACTGACATTAGCAGCATTAATCGTAAGTAGATTTAGAGAATCATTTGTAGATCTTATTTTCATTTAGTTTTTATCGTAAACAATGATAATTAATAAATGGGTTGTAGTTTGTTGCTCTAATTGCCCATCACATGTGGTACCTTGTGCGAGGTCCAGCTCACTTAAATTTATTCAAGGGAGACAACTACAGTTAAAGTCATTACGTAAAAAATCGAAACTAGTGGAAGGAACAGTTGAATATGCTGTGTTATAATTATATGGTACATGTTTGAATTGTTAGATAATATGAATAACTAATGTATGAATAGTTAGTTAATATGTTGTTATTTCTTTATGGTAGTGAATCACAGTTTATTTGAATCGCAGTTTACCAGTTACCAGATTTCATAGTTGTAGAATATGGTCATCAGTTACAAAAGGTTTGCCCCCCCCCCTCCAAATTGGTAGCAGGTGTCCGTACGAGTAAAAATCAATTGGTCAGGTCGGGCACTACTGGAGCGTATAGCAACACACCTTAAAGTAGCCCCCAGGGGTGCTTAAAACTGAGCTTCTCCTTATTGGACCTGATCACAGACTTAATACCTGCATTGTGAAATCTCTCAATAGGCAATTCAGATATTCCGATATCAAATGTTGTGAAAAATCTTGGTGTGTCCTTAGATTCAACACTCATATAAACAATATCTGCAAAATTTACCATTTTCATCTTTGAAGAATAGGATCAATCCGTCATCTGATACCCGAAGGTGCAGCCGCTGCACTGGCTCGATCATTCGTGCTGTCCAGAATTGACTACTGCAATGCCGTACTTTCTGGAATAAATGATGAACAAATTTCCAAGTTGCAAGGATCCAAAATCGTGCTGCACGAATTGTGATTTAAGCTAGATCAAAATCACACATCACTCCCATCTTAAATAATCTTCATTGGCTCCGAGTGCACGAGAGGATTATTAAAATTTTAACTCTGACATAAAAAAAAACCCATTAAATAAAACAGCACCAAGATATCTTCAGAATCTCTTGACACACTACCAACGAAACAGGTCACTGAGATCCCAGAATAAATTATTGTTAGATGTACCGGTTTATAAGATGAATAAATTTGGTTCAGGGACCTTTCAGTATAATGCATCAATTCTATGGAATTCACTGCCACCTTCCATTCGAACATGTGAAACATTGTCTGTCTTCAAATCAAGTGTGAAAACCTGGCTGTTTAGGCACTATAATTGACCCATGTGAACACTTTCATGGTCCTAGAGCATTCCCAAGTGGGATGAATTGTTGCAAAATATAAATTTTGTTATTATTAATTATTATTATTAAAATTTAAACGGCGCGAGTAAGCCGTTTAAATGACGTCATCGGTAACCCGAACGCACTCATGGAGGCTCGCGTAAGCGCGGCGCAAGTAATCGAACGTACCATATATATATAAGAAAAAGAGAGGTTAAATTTCCCTTCAGACGTCATTCCGAGACCCTAGAGAAGACATCATTTGGTGTTCCCAGGGAGGACATCATTGTCGTTCCCTGAGGGACGTACAGCTGCCTTGGCTTAGGGTCCGGGATAGAGACAATATATAGTGTTTCAGCCGTTAGGTCTGAGTTCTAGGCTTGTTAAACTCAGGGTGTAGATGTTGTACTATTAAAGATTTTGTAGTTCCCTGTATTTCATATATAAACATAGTTATAACAACACAAGACAGTGTTCCGGAGTCAATTAATAATTGAGGTTGTATATGAAGCATGAATGGCCTGACTAGATAAGTGTTACCCTAGTGTCACTGGCTATATACACAACGTGGAAGTAATTCATAATTCATCTATTTAAGGACACCGTAGTATCACATTTTGTGGACATTTTGTAGCTGTGCATCCATCAAATCTGCTTTTTTTGAGATTTAAGTTTGAATATCGAAAAACGAGCTAGTTGCTTTTCGATATTCACCAATATCGAAACCGAAAATCGAGCTAACTTCACACTTGTCACCTAGCATTAGGACGGTTGTATTATGTGATGGATAATGGTCGAAGACTGTCCATTATGTAAATATAAGAAAGAACAACTGAGGGGCGTTAGCCCCGAAGTTTTTCTTTGTATTTACATAATGGACAGTCTGAGGCTATTACCAAACTTAAAACATAGCACCATAGAGATACAAATAACGGATAGTTTTCTAAAAGAGTAAGCCACAAAATAATGGATATATTCTTAAAACAACATGCACATGACAAATCACTCCAGTCATATAATGCAAGCATACACAGATAGTCCAAAATATTCATTTAGCAAGATATCTTTAAGTGGAGACGACATGTTTATAACACAGCCGAAAACAAATATTAATGATGAGAATATTTGTGATAAGAATTTGGATACTGATAACATTTGGTGATGTACTCGATAAAGGGTAATAGCCACAAAAATTGTGATGTTCTTGATATTGGGGATAACGGACG